GAACTTGAGATCCCCGATTAGAGTTCGATATTTCTAGATTCTCCATCCTTAGAAACAATCCCTGCGCGTTAAGGTTATCCCGAAGCTACGGTGGTTTAGTTATCTGAATTTACTTAGTTCGTTTATTGATTTATTTTTGCTATTCACATATTTCATATGTTATTTCCTGATCTAATTCTTAGTCGAGTCTTGTTCTTAGTGTTAGCTATTCCCTGTGTTCGACCCTGGTACTACAGTTGATCCGTATCCTTGCGATATTCGTTGTATCTAGGTTTTTATTACTTGAGCTTATTTACACATCTAGATTTGCGTATTCAAGCGGTCGCTCATTTTGTCTTCAGGGTCGCCCGTTTTCTTCTTCAGGGTCGCTTGTTTTCTGGTAGCGAGCGACTGCCTGCTTGTACGAGCGACCGCTCGTTCTTTCTTACGCATCGGAGCGACCGCCTGGTTGTGCGAGCGACCACCTGGTTTTCACTATGCATCGGAGCGACCGCCTAGTTGTGCGAGCGACCGCCTATTCTCCAACATTTGCACGCCGAGCGACCACTCGGTTAACTGGGGGCCGCTCATTTTGTCTGAGTTATCCCGGATTCCTCAGTTCCGCCCCTTTTCCGTGCCTCGTGCGCAAATATCCTCGTTTGATCATCCTGCAAGGAAAAAGGGAAGAAAGAATCCTACCCATGACTATCTAACGTCCTAATATGCCTAAAGTGTGAGAAGAATCATAACGTATGACTTTAGAAAAACCGGTGAAAACCCGTGTGATTAGTAAACCATATTCAAGCTGTGGGAACCACGATTTTCCACCCTGCCTCACAAAGATAATCCGGCACGCTCAGCTTTGGCATGACCCGTGTTATGGACGATTGATTCCTTGACAGGCGCTCTAGTAATGGGAGGTACCTTGTCAGCATTACATAAATAAGGGATTTTTGAAACCACACTTAGATCAAGCATCTACTTTCAAGCTATGAGAACCACCATTTCTCCATCTTGCCTCACCAAAATAGCACGGCACACCCAGCTTTGGCATGACCCATGACACGTACGATCGAGGCATTGACAAGTGCTTTACTCGTAGAGCTCCTAGATCTAACCGGTTTCTGTGCAACGATTGTACATAATCCGAACAGACCATCCATTCGATTATGTAATCCCAATCCTGAAGCTCCCACTCAATCAAGCATAACTAATATCTCGATTAAGTTACATGCATTCATTCACTATGGACCATCCATAAGAATCAATCAAGTCTATTTGAGTCATAGACAATCAGATTAAGCAACGATTGCATAATCAGATTTAGAAAACGAAAAATTTAAGAATTTGGACATCGGACCGTCCGTTCTGGATGCAGAACGGACGTTCCAGGCTTGGCAGAACGGTCGGTCTGAGGTGACCGGAATGGACGGTCCATGACAGCAGAACGGACGGTCCACTCTCAGCCACGGAACGGATGTTCTAGACCCTTCGGTCTCACCTCAGTCCGCCACCCCTGGACCGTTCGGTCTGGCATACCCAGAACGGACGGTCTAGGGTAGGTCTACGTGATCAGATCACGTTTTCCGACGTTCTCGGCCCTGATCAGACCTGAAACTGATCTGAATTCTTCTGTACACCAAAAATCCTTACTCCTGCGCTCTATGCAACATGAAACATGCAATTTACACTAGATTCAATCATCAAACATGCATAGAAATCAAAGCAAACATGGATTCAAACAATTCAAATCCTAAAACGTGCGTGATCAGGTTCTACGAAATCAAAACAGAGCAACCAGACTCTGATACCACTGTTGGGTTTTCTGGGATCTCTAGAGCGAATCCGGGGAAAAGTAAGAACGCTTACCTCAATCGATCCGGGATGGATTCCAACGATTGAAACTTGTCTGCTAGGACCCGAATCTGCTATTTGGTATATCGCTTCGAGAAAATGAGGCTTGGAGCTCTTAGAACTCTTTGGATCTCCCCAAAATCTCTCCAAGTTCTGTACCAGACGGCTACTCAAGTCCTTTTATTAATTAGGGTTTCAATATCTTTCTTATAAGGAGATTTAACCCTAATTCGGTCTAATTTTCAAAAACCCGAAAGTCGGAACGGACGGTCCAGAAATACACGTGGATCGTGCGTTCCAGCAAGCCAGAACGGATGGTCTGCACACGTGGACCGTCCGTTCCAGACAAGCTAGAACGGGCGGTCTGCTGTCTACGGGGACCGTCTGTTCCAACACTTAGAACGGACGGTCTGCGTCTAAACGTGGACCGTCGGGTCTGGACCTGGTGGACCGTCGGGTCTGGCCCTTTCGGTCCGTTTGTTCCAGCCCCTTCCGTCTCGGTTTTTTGTCGTTTTCTCGTGCGTTTCGTCCTTCTGTGCATGTGAGACCCTGTAGGCTCATTCAATATAGCAGTATAACTCGAAATCTCTATTCCGGATATATAAGTCATAGGCAGTCTCTAGCAAACATTATGACTACCTATCTCGAATAGAGTTTGTTTGTGATCTTACGAACGCCAGCGATGATTCCGGTTGATGATCCTTTTTGTATCGCGATATCATATGTCGAACATAAGGCATGGACAAGCCACTTTATCTGATTCGACTACTTTCTCGTTCACTGAGTTCGATTGACTGAAATAGACGCGTTCGTCTATAGTGCGGCCACACATTTCTACAGTCTCGCTCATATGAGAGGTAAAAATCCCGTCTTGACTATCTACAATCCAGCACATGATTCATTTCGTATCTGATATACGCCTTTATAGTCCTCTTGTTACGCAGGACGTTTGACGTATTCAAAGCACGCAACTCCTCATGTTGGATTACGTAGATATCTCAGGTCTTAGGATCCAATCATGGAATCACCATATGAGATTCAAGTCATGACGCTAGTCCATGTGACAATATTATGCGGGTCATTCCACTATTCCGTTCTCCAACGAATACCTATGATTGTGATCGTATCCAATACCTATGATCATCTATATGATAATCAATCACACATCATACTAGTCTTACTATATTATTTTTCCCACAATGATACATGACTAGAGAGTTTAGTATTGTTCATAATAATACATGGATTTCATAACATATTCAAGTATGCACAATATGTAATGAATCAAACACTCATCCATAAAACCATAGAACGTGTCAATACATCAAATGTTCATAATAAAGCTCGCATAACAGTACATCATAGAGCACTAAACCAACACGTTGTGCTTCCTCAGGCGAGATAGGAATGGTACTGGTGGTGGCCTAGGAGGAGGAGGCACGTAAGCCGGCTCAGGTGTATCATCAGGAGTGTCTAAAACTGTGGTTCTCGAGCTATCGCCTTGCTCAACCATCGGTGGGTCTCCAGAATCTACCTGCTTACCACTTCTCAAGGTAATAGCATTGACATGTTCACGAGGGTTGGTCTCAGAGTTACCTGGAAGAGACCCAGGTGGTCTTTGAATGGCTGATGCTAACTAAGCAATCTTATTATCCACGAGCTTAAAATGAGCATCAATATTCGCGAACTGCGTGCGAAACTCCTGAGTTGTCTTCTCCTGCGTCTGGATAAACTGTTGAAGAAGAGCATGTGTATCTTGAGCGAGATCACGGTTACCTGGAGGTGCAGGGTTGTTCTAGGACTATCCGGGACCTCTGTAGTTGGAGTTCTGATTAGGACCCTTGGATTGAAAAGTAAAGCTGGAAGGGATCCTTTGGTTTCGGTTGTTCGATGCTCTGAAGTTGTTCGGCGTGGGGTTCTCAACATTGTTCGACTTGTAGGAGAGATTGGGATGATTCTTCCACCCTGGATTGTACGTGTTCGAGTAGGAATTATTGGCCACGTAGTTCACCCCTTCGAGCCTCTCATCCAATGCGTACATACCGAGCTCCTCTTGTGTTAGTATCAAATGCTTGGTCCTAGAGGGTCGGTTGGAATCTTCGAGCTTAGCATTGAGGACAACCAATTGTTCAAGAACAATCTGCATGGTCTGATCATTGCATTCCTTTGGCGGATCTCTAGAGTACTCGCTCGGGGCGTCTTCTTGTTGGGCCATTATCCCAATATGATCTTCTAGCTCGACGAATGACTTGTTCTGGATGCTCCCACCACATGAAGCTTGGATCAAAGTCTTGGTATCCATTATGAGTCCTCGTAAGAAGGTGTTGATCAAGTAGTTCTTGTCAAGCCCGTGATGAGGGCAAGACTTCTGATATCCTTTGTACCTCTTCCAAGCGTTATAAAGACTTTCCCCATGATCCTGCTTGAATGAATGAATGCTAGAAAGAGCTTCTTGAGTGCGGTGAGCTGGAAAAAATTTCGACATAAACTGCACTTCCAGTTGTTCCTAGGTGTGGATGGAATCGGGTGTCAGATCGTAACACCATTCCAAAGCAGCATCCAAGAGAGTCCAGGGGAAAGCAATCAAGCGGAGTGTATTCTCTGTCACCCTGTATCTCTCTTAATAGAACGACACATCATCTTAAAGCGAGTTAGATGTGCGTTCGGGTCTTCGTTCGGCCTACCCCGGAAAGCATTATTACTCAACATTTGAATAGTAGACGGGTTCAGCTCAAAACTAGACATGTCGATGGCCGGTAGTCGAATACCAGCCAACAGCTCAGTGTGCCTAGGTGTGTTGTACTGGGCAAAGGTTGAGTCAGCATTGCCCTCGACACCATCGGGAAGAGCAAAATCTCGCTCGTTCTCCATTAGTCTTCGTTGTCGTCGGATGTATCTAACGGTCCTTTTGAGTTCACGATCAAGAGGTACTAGGTCTGATGTCCCAACACTCCTGGTCATGCACCAGAAAAACCTGTGCACCAAACGAAAAACAACAACAAATGAAGAAAACGTGAGAGATCCGTTAAGAAAAAGAAAAACAAAAAGATCCAGAATAGATAGGATCTAATCCTGTTGCCTAAATTGTCTCCGGCAACGGCGCCAAAAACTCGATGTCGAAAATCTAGGTGAATAATTTTCGATCAAGTGATAAATTCCTAGACTCAACAAATACTGCAAGTGTACGGATCGTGTATAATCGCTAGGGCCGAACATTAGGGACAAAAGTAGACAAAGAATTCAAATCCAAGTTAAAGTCAAGATCCAAGGAAAATAATAGGAGTGTGGTAAACAAAGCAAATAACGAAAAACGGTTGTAAACAATCAATGATGAGTATTGCAGGCTTCGGGATTGCTTTACATGCAAGGATATTTCAAATGATGCAAACTTAATGGTTTATCTATCCAGTCCAGGGAATTCAAGCTCTAAGGTAGAGATTAACTCTTCCAAGTCTAATCTCACTATCAAGGTTTAATCCTACCAATCTCTCGATTCAATAGTCTAAAACTCTGGATGCATGAACGAACGGTATCATGATTCCTAGGCAAATATCCATCTCTCGATGTGATACCTGTTCTATTTATTGAATTAGTTCCAAGTTAGAATCCCATATGTCTTTGTGAATTAAAACCCTAAGATCATTCAATCAAGTAACCAACAAGATCAAACGCATTAAGAACAATTCAATAAACTGAATAGAATAAATAAATCCATAAAGTCTGGAATTAAAAACCAAAGATCCTTACATAGCAAATCCCTAACCTACAGCTACGGGACTACTCGCTAAACATCGAGGTGACATGGTTCATATCCATACAACACAACATCGTAAAATAGAATAAGGAAGAAACTCTTAGTCGATTTCTCGGCTTTGTGATCTCCTTCTTCTACTCCGATCTCTTGCTTCCTGATAATCTCCCCCTTGTGTAAGCTCTCCGTTCTCCTCTTGTCTGTGAAAGTCTGAGTGAATTCGACCTTGGGGGCTAACCCTACTTAATCCTTCTTTTTCTGGGCCAAAATTCAGAATATTTCCAAAATCTGGTAAGTGACCCGATCGTGTGACTGAAAGTGACACGATGTGTCACTTAGCAGTTTTGACGGACTTCACAAATTCGCTCATAACTTTCTGTTCCGACATCGGATTTGGGGATCTTGGCGTTTATGTGTAGATATCGAAGAGATCTTTCCAATGATGTAGAGAATGTATGATTTGGACTTGTAGAGTGAAAGTTGTTGGACTTGCAAGATCTGATGTTTCTGAGCTATACGTTTTCTCCGAAAAAACTCCAATTGTTCCCGGTTTGTCCGTGATGTTCCGTAATCCATGTTTTCCACTCCTTTTGCTCTCTTTTGTGTGAAAACCTGTTTAAACACCAAAGAACACAACCATGCAATATCGAAGCCAAATGTGCCCTAGAATGTCTACAAATATGTAAAACCCAGTGAAATACGCTAAACATCCAATATCAAAACATCACCCAAAGTACGGGTTATCACCACATATTATGACTATGAGATATGGCAAATGGATGTCAAGACCGCGTTCCTTAACGGGAACTTGACCGAATATGTGTACATGACACAACCCGAAGGTTTTGTCGATCCAAGGAACCCGGGGAAGGTGTGCAAGCTTCAGAGGTCCATTTATGGACTGAAGCAAACTTCGAGGAGCCGGAATCTTTGCTTTGATGAGACAATCAAAAAGTTTGGTTTCTCACAGAACGAAGACGAGCTGTGTGTTTACAAGAAGGTTAGTGGGAGCACAGTAGTATTTCTAGTGTTGTACGTGGATGACATTCTCCTTATAGGATATGACATTCCTACCTTGCAAGACGTTAAGTCTTGGCTAGGAACGCAGTTTTCTATGAAGGGCCTAGGAGAAGCGGCCTATATTTTAGGCATCAAGATCGATAGAGATAGATCGAGGCGTCTTCTAGGATTGAGTCAGAGTACTTACATCGTCAAGGTCTTGAAACGGTTCACGATGCAAGATTCCAAGAAAGGAACCTTACTGATGAGCAGTGATACAGTTCTCTGCAAGAGACACTGTCCTACGACACCTGATGAGTGAGAACACATGGATCGGATTCCATATGCTTCGGCAATTGGATCCATCATGTATGCCATGCTTTGTACTCGACCGGATGTATCCTATGCGTTGCGCATTACGAGTAGATACCAGTCAGATCCAGGTGAGTAACACTGGATCGTCGTCAAGAACATCCTGAAGTACTTGAGAAGGACTAAGGATGTGTTCTTGGTATACGGTGGGTCGAAAGACAAGCTCGCTGTAAAGGGTTACACCGATGCTAGTTTTCAGTCAGACCCGGATGACTACAGATCGTAGTCTGGCTATGTTTTCTGCTTGAACGGAGGCACTGTTAGCTGGAAGAGTTCTAAGCAAGTGACCGTTGCAGATTCTACTACAGAAGCTGAGTATATTGCAGCGTCGGACGCAACAAAGGAAGCTGTTTGGATCAGGAAGTTTGTTGCAGACTTGGGTGCCATTCCTAGTGCTGATAGCCCCATTGCTTTGTATTGTGACAACAATGGAGCGATCGCACAAGCGAAAGAACCCAGATCCCATCAACAATCCAAACACATACTCAGACGATTTCACCTTATCAGGGAGATCATAGACAGAGGAGACGTGCACATTTGCAGAGTGTCGACAGATGACAACAATTTTGATCCGTTGACGAAGCCTCTCCCTTCGTCGAAACATGAGGGTCATGTTAGGGATATGGGCATTAGATGTTTAGCAGTCCATGATTAGAGCAAGTGGGAGATTGTTGGTTTAGTGCTCTATGATGTACTGTTATGCGAGCTTTATTTAGATACATTTGATGTATTGAAACTTTCTATTAGTTTATGGATGAGTGTTTGTTTCATTACGTATTGTGCATACTTGATATGTTATGAAATCCATGTATTGTTATGAACAATACTAAACTCCCTAGTCATGTATCATTGTGGGAATAATGATATACTAAGACTAGTATGATGTGTGATTGATGATCATATAGATGATCGTAGGTATTGGATACGATCACAATCATAGATATTCGTTGGAGAACGGAATACTGGAATGACCCTCTCTCATCTAATGGTTTTTCCACGTAAGATTTTGATTACTCTACGTTGTCGCCATGATCTGAGGAAAGAAAGAGAAAAATATATTAAAAAATACAAAATAAATTTAAATATTAGTAACCGGTAAATAAACAAAACCTCCCTTGTAAAAAACAAATAGTGATCTCTCTCTCTCCCTCGTCGTTCCTCCTGGTTGAATTTGAGAGGGAACCCATCAAGACAACAACATCAACATTCGTGCAAATCTGTGTGTGTTCCTTCGAATGTAAGAAAATGATTCTCCTTTTATATTCCGTTGTTTCTGGGTTAATCTCTGTTGATCTGTTTGTTATCGATTCCTCCGTAACTTCAGGTTTGGCGCCATTGCAGAGCTCTAGCAGGCGACAAAGTCACGACCTCTTCTTGTTTTGGTCTTGTGTCTTGTCTCTGATCAGGAGATGGCGACGACAACGATGAAGGGCCTTCTGAAAGGCCTACGTTACATTACTCAGATTTTTTGTGAGTCTCCCATCTCATCAATGCAAAAATTAAGGAGATTTACATAACAAAACATGCAGAGATCTTATGTTCGTGTGGTGTTGTTTGTTTTTTAAATTGCAGATGAGGAGAAAGAGCCGGAGATGCAGATTGGGTTACCGACAGATGTTAAGCATGTCGCCCACATCGGTTCCGACAGTCCCTCCGTCACAACACCTACCTGGGTGCGTATACGACTCCCATTTCAATGGCGATCCATCTACATATATACGTATTTTGTTATATACATGGGCTATGGGTACGTACCCTTGTACCAATAAAAATCCTCAGGTCAAGGCGTGTATCAGGTACGAAACGAATCATGTGTTGGATTGTAGATAGTCAAGACGGGATTTGTACCTCTCGTAAAAGAGAGAGATATCGCTGGGTCCCTCGTGTGAGCGAGACTGTAGAAATGTGTGGCTGCACTATAGACGAACGTCGTCTATTTCAGACAGTCGAACTCATTGAACGAGAAAGCAGTCGAATCAGATAAGGTGGCTTGTCCATGCCTTATGTTCGACGTATGATATCACGATACAAAAGGATCATCAACCGGAATCATCACTGGCGTTCGTATGATCACGAACAAACTCTATTCGAGATAGGTAGTCATAGTGTCTTGCTAGAGACCGCCTATGACTTGTGTAACCGAAATAAAAGATTTCAGGTTATATTGCTATATCGGATGAGCCTACAGGGTCACACATACAGGAAAGGACGAATGCACGAGAAAAGACGAGAAAATCCCGGTGGAGCGGAGGCCAGACCGACCGGTCTAGAAGGTCTGGACTGATCGGTCTAGACACGTGGGCCGGTCGGTCCAGAGGTAACGTGCAAATGTTGCTCAGTCTGGAAAATGTTCCAGACCGATCAGTCCGGAACCATGGACCGATCGGTCCACACGTTAAAAGTTCCAGACGTCGGGATTTCCTAAACTCGTTCTAATTACGGTTTTAAGTGGGATTAACTTTAGGGAACGCCTCCTAAGCCTTTTGGCACGATTTTCAGACCCTTTGGGGAGTTTTTGAGAGTTGAAAACCTAAGAGTTAGATCCCTGAAACCCGTACGCAAAGAAGAATGTGTTCTTCATTCCTAGCAAACAAGTTCCAACCATTGGAATCCTTTCGCCGTGTGGATATGTGTAGAGAGTGAGGTATTCTTCCTACCTTACGTGATCGGACGAACACATCAATTGATACAGGCCTCGGATCGATTGAGGTAAGCGTTCCAACGTTTTCTACAAGATCATGCATGATAG